TTGGGCATGCAAATGAATCCAGTGTGAACAAGCAACGTTGGTCTCAGAAGTTTCTGGCGTTTTGCTTCCTCCCATATTTGGGGTACCTGACAGCCTGCACGAACAGTCAAGTCATGCTGCATGTGATGTGGCCCTGGCACAAGAGGTGGGCTGTGTGATTTTCACAGACTGGGCCAGGTATTTTTCATAAAGATTAAAGCAAGCAGGTGTCCCCAGCGAATGATCTGGTCACCTTAAACGAACATGATTTGGACATTGCTGATGATTTATGCTCTTATGAAAAGGCAGTATTTTTATTACAGATATTCTGCCCTACAGATTCATTAACTGCTTTGCAGGGGGGCACAGCCTTCCAAGTGGTAAACTTGTCACTTCAGTCTGTTCAGTGCCAGTTACTTCATAAAAAAAAAAAAAGAAAGAAAAAGAAAACTGCCAGGAATGGTCTGTTGCTTTCTACAGTGTGCTGTGGCCAATGAATTATTGTTGAGTAGCTATACAAGCATCATATTCATACCCTCCTACCCCTTCCCCTGGCTGCCAATGCAAGGCAGACTAGATTAGTTAATTACATCTTTCTTCCTTAATGATGGAATACTTAGAAAACTCTTATTGATCCTACAGAACATAATTCATGACCTAATTACAGTGATAAAACTGCAGGATTATCACCTTGCCAGCTATTAACTTCTAGCACTGATCTGAGTTAATTGGAAAAGAGATAGGTGATTTCTACGTTCTTGATTTGCAACATAACAGCAAGATGAATGAGGAAGGCCATTAAAGGTATGCAAAGCAATTTCTAGCCCCCAATCTGCTCTCAGCTCTCAATCCTGCCCAGGAAATACCAGACACATTTAACACTTTAGCTTTGTTTCTTCAGCCATTTGAGTAATTTGCTCAGTGGGACAACTGTATTTGATACTGTCAATTTTGCAGAAGTTCAAATGTGGAGCATGGACCTCCTTTTCTTTACCTGTCTTTTACAGATTTGAGGAGATTGATCTAAGTTCTTGTTTTGGACTAAGTCCTCAGTCACTCTCAGTCTGGACAGAAAACAAAAATAAACAAGCAAACCCCAAGAAGATCCTTGATTTCCAGAATTACACTCAACTTCCCCTTAACTACAATGATGGACTGTGGCTGAAGAAAGAAAGGAAAACCTCTTCCCTCACCAGCCCTTCACTGTGCTTTTCCTGAAAAGGATGCAGCCCCACCTAAGAACCAAGCTTTGATTGTCGTCACGGCTGCTCAGAGGGCTGCCTGTTAGGGTCATGCAATAAATCTAGAAGATGAGAAACTAGAAGTTTTCTACCCTACTCAGGGCTCGTCTACACAGGAAGCTAGTCAGCAGCAAAATAGGATGTGCATTTATAACGCGTTACCTATGCCACATGAATTTCCTGCGTGTCCGCTGTAATGCGCACAGTGTCTTAGTTTGGCTTCCTAACTGAAGTAAGCTCCTGTGTACAGATGCAATCTTCGTGCTCATTAGAAATGCCCACACGAGTTATGACATAGCTACTGTGATGCATGCTGTCTTCCCCACATAGGTAATCTGTTTGGTTTTAGTGTTATGACTGTTATCCTCAAGAAGAGGGTGTAATTTCTTGGCTTTCTGCCACCCAGACAAGTCTTTAGCAGTTGAGACTATAAATGCTAAGACAATGGGCTGGTCAAGGAAAAAGAGCTTTGAAGTTGGGCAAGAGTGACCGAACTGAGATTTCTAGTAATACCAGGAATTTAGGTTGCTACAGTCACATGAATGTAGAAGAAAGTCCAACGGTGGGTAGAAGCTAGCAAGTATTAGGGGTTAGCGTGGTGCAGAGCAGACCTTTTTTTCTCATGTTGCAGCATGAGTTCAGCAAACCACACCAACCTCTCACTTTAGATGGAGATACCAAAGAAACCTCCTGTTGGTGAGAGTTAGATGGTTAATCCTGTGGGTACCACTGCTGTTGAGGTTGCTGCTGACTTGCCCTTAAGCAGGCTGTCAATGCACACACACCATGCACAATTACTCGGCATAATAGGGCTATGAGGTCAGCATGAATCCACATCAATGAACCTCGTACGTCTCTGATGTAAGGCACCAGGCCAAGTGCTCTCAATTTCTCCTTGCTATCAAAAATGTGCAGCTCCCCCCATGCAATCTGGCTTTGTCAAGCACGTGATTGCTTTAAGAGAAATATGGCACAAGAGGAGAAAGACTGATGCAGTCTTAGAGTATACCTGGCACTGGCAAAACAGGAAAGCTCACCCATGTAAGTGCACACTCATTCAGATCCTGGCTGACACTACGAAACTTGAAGCTGGGAGAGATATCCGTTGTGGGAGACTCTGAACACAAAAGAAACTCAAAGCTTGCAGTAAAAGTTGATGGGAATTGAAGAGATTGCACATAAGGAATCTTCCGTATCTTCAAAAGTATTTGATTCGTGGGCAAAGAAGGCTCAAAATATCTTTGTGAGATAATATCTCCCCTGTAATTTGCTACCACACAGTTCAAATGGTGGCATAGAGTTCTCACAACTGTTTGTTCCAGACCACAGAGCTCCGCACTTCTGCACCCTTATACTGAACAACGAGACCACACTGCCTTGCAACATACTGCCAGTAATACACACTTGAAAGAGATGCACAAGGGCTTTGCAACATCTTTGAACACCTTAAGGTACTGGGTTTCCCAGAAGAGAAAGCCGTGGGTAAGAAATGGAAAAAGAAAAGTTTACTTTAGAAGCTGCTGAACTGGGAAGCACTTTGTTATGTGACTTTCTGAAGTATTTCCACTGTTACAGGGGAAGCCGATTCACAAATGCTGTGGGTGATCTGTTCCCAGCAAGAGAGATTCTGATGACCTATAACTCATCAGAAGGAGGTTTTCATATTCTGTGAGCTATTGTGTTGGACGGTCCATGACAAATCAGTTTCCTGCATTCATTTGTCTGTCCCTTCCACAACATCCTCTCTAAAATTTTACTGCTTTATTGCTTATAAACACCTCCCCACACAGTTCCTGCTGGGAAAGGCAGTTTACCATCTTTCTGAGGTTTTAATGAGAAACTTGTCAGCTGAGCATGCAGGAACTTACAGCACCTCTAATATATTTGCAGAAAATGCATCATCTGGTTAAGAAAAAAGCATGAGGAGGCCTCAGAGAATCATACAATTTTGCTGTTCAAAAAGAGATCCCTAGTCAGGAAACTACCACTACATAAAGACACGTGCACTCAAATAATTGGATCAAAATTAGGCAAATATTATTAATTCCTCTGGTAAAGCATTAATAAAAAGAAAAAAGAAAACCAGATGAGAGAATGAGATCTAAGAGGGAAGCAAGAAAAAGTAGTGGTTTACTTGAAATAATTTGTCTAGCTTTTCTGTATTTTTTAAAACAAGAAAGCCAAGAAAACTCAGCTCCTGAGAGACGAGGGTTGATAAGGTGACCCCAATATTTTACAAGCAAATGCACAAAACTGAATTCAAAGAAACAGCGAGTGAGCAAGAAAAGCAAGATACCATCTCTGAACTAATGCAGTGGTCATAAAAAATTAGCTCGAGCTAGATTACACTCCTGTCTTAAGGTTAAACATTACTCAAGGTTAAAATTATTCTTGAAATTATATTCTTGACCTAAGTCAGAGCTGCACAAAAACAATGAAAAAGCCACATGGTTATCAGAAGTCTCGTAAAGCATGGTCAATTTAACTAGAGCGCATGAGCCCAAACGTGTTTCAGAGCTTTTTTGCTCAGCAGTGACATCTGTTGCTATCTGGACCATCACCTAAGTCTGACAGAAGTTCCACCCTTCCTAACTATCCAGGAACTGCGCATCACAGTCTAGTGAGCTCACTGCCACATCAGCAGGATGATGGAGAATGTTTCCTAGAACCCAAAACAAAGGTACCTATGCTAATAGCTACTAAGAAAAGTTTACTCCAAGGCAGGAGGAGCAGGAGAACACGGGAAAAAAAAGTCTGATTAACTAAAATATTTGTTCTATGAACAATTTTTTAAAGCAGAAATTATTTATATTTTACTTAAAGCAAGGTCCCAAAGAGGTTACCTGGGACAACTTGTCCTCAGGCACAAAATCTGTCAACTAAGTTTCCAAGTAAGGCTCAACAGGCAAAAAGAAAGAAGATGAAACTCACGCATGAGTAAAGCTATCTGCATGTATTGGAGATTTGTCTCTGACATTAAAAAAAAAAAAAAAAAGGTATTATTAACATTAAACTAATAATAATTCGTATTTTATGTCATTCATTTTTTCAAAAAGCATCTCCAAAAACTTCCAGTGAAGACTGGCAGAATGTGACACCCATTTTATCCACAGGGAACTGAGGGGAGAAGAAAATGTCTTGTCAGAGATCGCACTATATCTGCGATGGGACCCCACAGTCTTGGAGCACAGACCACATGGCTTCAATCAGTAGGCACCACACATTTAAACATACGGTGTCATTGAAGAAAAATACAGTTTTTGAGAATCACTTTGAATCAAACAAGTACAGAGGGAAGTACCTATTCAGGAGGAGAGGGGAAACAAATCTCAGATGAGAACAAGAAATCAACAGCCTAAGGAGGAAGAGGGAAACTGCAAATGACTGGCATTGATCATCTTCGTATTTACACTACCTTACACCTGATCACCAGAGAACTGGAAAGGGTCAGAAGCTTTTGATGTGGTCTGTGGTCACATGAAAAATATCCACTGTGCTCAACAGAGAAATCCAGTATGCAGCTAATAAAGGATCAAGCAGGTCTGGAACAGTTTTCTCTAACAAAAGTATTTTAGAACCAATTTTGCCTAGCATACTTTAATAAATTACAAAGCTGAATGACTGACTGAGACTTCAGACTCAACCAAAAGGAATCCAAAAACCATTAGACAACTAACTGACCTAGTGAAATTACAGGCACATTTTTCCAAGACAACAGAGTAAACCTGTAAAAAATTATTTACATGCATACAGTCAAAGGAAAACATGATTTTTACTTACATTTCAGTGGCTATGAATCCAGTGAGCTCAGACAGGAAGAGAAACAGTATGAAGAGACAGCAGCAGACAGAGACTGGAAAAGAGGCACGGAGAGGAGAAGGTTAGTTTCATGTCTCTAACATAAAGACATAAACTGGTTTCACACAGGCATATTATTCCCCCCATGGATATGACACTTGAGAACTCTTTAGACACAATGACCCAGACGAGGCCATCAGAGCAGTGACTTCCATGGCACGACGATACCCAACATCCTTCTGAGAATCTTAATTCTTGGGCCACCTTTTCCATCATTATTTCCATCTCCCCATGGCTCCTGCATTCTCTATCTCCAGCACATAATGTTGGTCTGCCAGATCTCCCTCCTTCTTGACAATGATGCTTAACAATATGATTTCTTTGGAGCTCTTGCTTCAAACGTAATTTTATTACTACTAAAACCTCTAGAAAGGAAAAAGAATCAACACCATCTTTCTTCAAAAGCATACAGTCAGCTATGCAGTGTTTTGTGGATTAGGAAACATTCTGGTTTCTTGTCAAGTTCTAAGGCTATGTGTAAGTCATCTTACAGCCTACGCTACCCACTAGAGAGCTGGTACAGCAGAGAAATGGCAATAACGGACTAGGCTAGCCAATGCCTGATACACCTCTAATTTCTCCATTTGCCAATATATTGACTCTTCAGAAAGGGAAAATTCCCAGTGAAGGAAATGCGAAGTACCTGGACAAGTCCCATGTCTTTTCTAAGAATGTCAACCTAGAGTTAAAAGGAGGGAACCCAAAGCAACTGGCACATTACTGGTTATTCCTTGTCAGGAAATTATTCAAAACATCGTACAGTGACATTCACGCAGCAGTGACACAGTCACTGACCCATACAGGAGGGGCTGGAAGGAAGGACAGCTGTAAATCCTATTGAGCAGGGATGATTGGAGTAGACAAGGACGTGCCAACTCAAGAAGACAGGGCTGCAATGTGTATTTGTATTAAATAAAATACCCAAGTTCACCATGAATCACTACATGAAAGAGTAAACCAGGAAATGGCATGCTATTCCAGGGCTGTGACAACAGGAGTACAATCTGGCTCACCCCTCAATCCCAGCAAAGTTACAATGACCAAGCACTCTTTGGAAATTACCATTTTGCCATAGCCACTAAGTAGGATTGAGAAATACGTAAAAAAAACCCTGTTCCTCAACTTTATTCCACATGATCTATACAGCCTGAATACCCACTCCTTCGGGAAGCTCAAGCAACAGCTGGCTGGTGAGCAATTTTATCATACAATTGCGCCTGTCCAAACTCCCTTGGTAGAAAATGTGAGAGGCAAGGGAAGGAAGGAGGAGGTACTTAAGGCAAATACTGAGACAGACCCTCGAGTGACCTAAAGCCTTGTGCCTCATTCTTTAGATTAGTCAGTTTATAGTTCTGAGGAAAGAGAAATGTGTTGCTTCCCCTTCCTCATCAGAACAATTTCAAGGGTGGATGAATTTACTGACCCTTTGAAAAGTGCAAGGGATTAAAAGAGATGCCAAAAAATCCGTAAGGTAAGATGAAGAAAGAGAGAAAAGGGGAAAAAAAAAGTCAAAGACCAGTAGGAAAATGGGAAGCAAGAGGGGATATTCATTTCTATAGAGAAACCTCATCACACAGTTACTTCTAAGGCTTGGCCATCAAGACAGAGAACGACACCACTGCTGTAACCCAGGGTTGGGGGAGTAAGCCAGTATGCAGGGGAGAACGTCTGACATAGAGACAACCCTTTCTTCTTTAATTGCTTCCCATATTCCTCTCTGCTTGTTATCATCCTGTAAAGGCTTTCCACAGCATCAGCTAGACCTCTCTGCTCCCCAGCACTTCTATGGAAGCCTGGTACTACTAACTGTAAATTCTCTCCGGAGCTTTCTCTCTCTCTTCTGATTTTTTAACTCTCTCCTCTGCCATTTACATCATCAGATTATCTTCTCCTTTTCCAGTATACAAAATATTTGCTCCCTCAAGTCCATCTTCCAATCCAACTCTTGCAGTGAAGGCTTGTGACAATAGTTACCAAATACAGCACAGTAAAATTCCACTAACCCATATCTAAAAAATCCTGTAAGAATGTCCTGAAACATCTGGCAGGGACTGACTTTCAAAGCTCCTCAATGCTTTCGCCAGTCTCCAAACTACACAGTCAGTTTTAGACCTGTAAAGAGATTACTGAGGGTAGACATGAGAGGGTTGTATAAAATCATGAGCAGCCCAAAGGAGATGAATAGGGAACAACCAGTCACTGTCTTCTTCCAGTATGGGAATGGGAGGGAAGGGGGAGGTTAAAAACAAAAGGGGGTTTTCCTTTACACAACGCCTAACTAAATTCTGAAAATTGGCTATAGGTGTTGGGGATGCTTAAAAGAAAAAAAGTCTCTAAGATTTCAAAGAGGAATCAGACATGCCCTGAAGAAGAAATCTGTTGAGGACTACTCAATACAAAGGAACCACCTGTAGCTCAGGAAGTTCAGAACTGCCAACTGACCGAAGCCTGGCAACGTGTTTAACCTGTCCTCATGCTCTTTTCTCAAGCATCTGCTGCTGACCACTCCTGGCAAGAGGACACTAGGCTACACGGACATTTGCACCAGCCTAGCTAGCATGGCTGCTCTTGTGTTAAACTCTTTTTGTACACACCCATTTTCAGGGCAGGGGGGTGTCTTCGGGATGACATTTATGTGAAAGTCCTGTGTGTTAAACGGTCTCCTGAGACGTTTTTTCAGGCACAGAACGTGAGCTCCTCTCCTTAGCATGGAGCTGCAGGCATATACAATGTTCTCAGCGTAAGAATTTATGCACACAGTGCTTCAGCTATTTATTTCATAGTGCATTTCACTGCTTCCATGCAAATGTGAAGTTCCTGCCACCCACATTTGACAACTGTATTATATTTGGGAAAGTAGATTAAAGCCTAGGATCAGACAGAATAAAACAATTAATGCATAAAGTTTAGTTTAACTGCAAGAGCACTGTGATGTTCCCACAGAGCTCAAAGGACCATCTAAGACAGGTTTCTTAAAACTCTAATATGATAACACAATCAATATAGCAAAGGTTGCTGGTGTTAGACACACTGGAACACACTGCTGTTGGCTAATCAGTAACCCCAAAAGAACAGAAAATTCTCCCAAGAGTTTTTTTCCTACACTAGCTTCGGCAGCCTAACCTTTTTGTACATATCCCTTCTGATACATACCCCATCTGCGTACATTCCTGACTCTTCATCCCCACCCCACAAGAAATGAAAGAAATGCAAAGTGTTTAACACGTCATACAGACTGAGAATGTGAACCCATGTCTATATTAAGGCATAAAATTAGTAGTATTTATTGTTCAATGGAGCAAACTGCTATGAAGTGCAAGAAATGGGTCTTGTTACAGATGCCATGTGAATCATAACTCTGATATTTCCTGATGTGTATTTAAAACTCCAGCCTCCAAACAGTATAGAGTATTTCTGGATAACATTACCAAGTGTGCATACAACATGTGCATGCAAACTATGCATCCACACCGACTGTTAAATAGCAGGATTGCGACACAGCTGTCCGAGTTGCAGGCCCCTCTCTCAAGAAGTCAGACTGCTCCTCTCCAGCCAGATGCCAACTGTCAGCCAGCCAGGGCACGTGCTGCTGCTGCCTACATACCCAAACATGGCCAAGTTGTCACCACGTTAGTCAGGTCTGTTAGAATGGCTGTGCGCTGGCATCACAGACACGCTACACAGGAGCAAGAAGGCCTGCAAAAACTGGCACAAGCATCTGGTGGAAGAAGGACAATGATGGCATGACTGGCTGAGTGGCACAGGGATCGCAATGCTGCCTGAAAGAAGATATTTTTATTGAGAAAAAGAATGAGTAACTTCTGCACACTTTTCAGAGAAGTCCACAGCAGTGGGTATGTTGTTCTACACAAACCTCACTCCTCTAAGCTGCAGTGGACTGTTCTTGGTTCCTTCATTCCTACTAATTTTTGATAGCCAGAAGGGTTGCTACACAGATTTGAAATATCTTGTACGCTGCGTTCACTGCAACTTTTGAAGCAACTTTTGAAACTACAAACTCATACATAACAGAAAGACTTGATAACCCTTCAGTTGGCTTCTGAACTTGTCTATGTTTAAGATCGCCTGCTCTTCTCCACCAAAATACCCTAACACTTATTCCCCCTGAGCTGCTTCTTTCCTAGAGGAGTTGGCCACTTTAGCCCTGGTGGTCAGAAGCAGAGCTGGTACCTTCCATCCCTTTTCTTCTGTAATCTGATTTATTCCTTCTTCACTAATAAACCCCAAACTTCTCAAAGAAAGGCCTTTTTACAATCCAAAACCAACTGTAGGAATCCTGCAGTAAACCCATTCCTATTCCAGAGAGTCTTCAGCACCAGGAGTGATACGGAACTAAAGTTCCAGCAGAAATCATGTAGGAAGGGCCTAAATTAAGTCAGCTACTACGGGCTATTTTATATGTGCTCTGTAAACATTGGCAGACTTAAAGAAAGCCAAAACACAGCAGCAACCATAGTTGTTTCACATATTTATACTATTTAGATCCTAAAAGATTTTTTTTAAGAGGCAGAACCTTCCCCTACCCCCAAGCCCCTAATATTATTACAGACTGACTTCCCTAAAGCATTTATCATGAAATCATGCAACCTTCCCAGGCTTCAAACTGGCATGGCAATGGGCTGGTCTCGTTCATGGCCTCCTACAACATGCAGGATTTACTGGCTTTAAAATTACAAGTCACAATCTTGGTCAGACAGAAAGCCCATTAGGAAAGCTGCACACAAGATCCTCACATGCAAAGCCACCACAGTTTGTGGGCTGACTGTGTGGTTCAAAAGCTTATATCAGCCTGCCTAAAAACACTCTCTGACAAAAAGAAGGAGAACCAGTTAGAGAAGAAAATCAAAGCCTGAGAAGCTGCAAATAACAATAGAGACAAATAAGTCAGCTAATAATTTTAAGTAAGAGTCACAGCCTTCAAGCCTTCCCACAACAGACTTATCACTTGAGCTGTTTACTGCAGATCAGAAAGCTTAACACTGGATGGCCTTTGATGGTTTTTTTGTTTCTAAAACATACTCTTTTGCAGGTGATTCATAACAAGACAAATTCTCAAAGGGAGCCCAGTTATAGTGTGGGAACTCTTAGTTTCCAAAACAGAAGAGAAGGCAGGATCACTAACAAGTTCAAAGTGTTCCTTCAAAACACTAAATCTCAAACGCCTCTAAATTAGCAAACAGTTTTATTCAAGCCCTTTGTTCAGTTTCAGCAAACCTGAAAAGGGAGTCAAGGTACAAGTAATTCAGCAGTCAGAACACGGAGGACAAGGACTCTCTGAAAGTAAATATTTAGAGCAATGTGCTATCTTCACAGAAGCACAGAATAGTTGGGGCTGACCTTTGGAGATCATCCCATCCACCTCCCCTGCACAAAGCAGGGACAGCAAAAGCAGGTTGCTCAGGGCTGGGTCTAGTCATTCTGAGTATCTCCAAGGATGGAGACTTCCACACCACTCTGGGCAACCTGTTCTAGTCTTCGAGCATCCTCACAGCAAGGAGTGAGGTGTTTCTTTAGCTCACAAAGGGCTTTCCTTTGTGTCCATTGATTCACTGCTACTGACTCAGTTCTATTTGATGCCTGCTGTCACCAAGGGATATGACATCACTCACGTCAGCAATGACATACAAGGCTACTGACCCATCTAGAAGAATTGATGAATGGAGCACAGCTACACGATCAAAGGAAGTCACTGTTCAATGGAACAGGAAAGCTGCATTGGGCGTCTAATTACAGGCCTGGCAGGACCAACCTGATCAATGTTTACCACTCCGCACAGTGCGCTCACTGCACATAATTGTATGAAATTGCATTACTCAGCCTACAGCCTCCCTCAGGAGGAGGAAGGAAGGAAAAGGGGCCCAAGGCAAGAGATTTGTATCAGCCAAAGTCTATGTATTGATACACGGGAGTGAGAGTGGATCGCTATCGGTGGTTTCTGACCAAGCAATTTTTCCTCTTTAAAAGCATGACAAATAACAACAAAAGAAGATCTCTGCTCATTAGTCCCACCTACAACATCAGATGAATCCCCCGAGTATGTTGTGAGAGAAATAGGTGTTTCCCAGATCATCTTCACCGCTGGCCACCGCACATTGCAACCCACACTGCTCCTTACTGATCCAGAACCTGGGTTCCCCATTTGCAGCAGCTTAGCTCAAGTCTCTTCAGCAAACAAACGCCTGGGTACTCTAACTGTGAATACAACTGTTACCAGCTGTTCTTCACGCTGACTGAGGGGATGCCTGTCAGACAGAGGCAAAAAGATCTGCAGTCATCTTCCCCCCCCCTCCGCCCCCCCCC